ATAGATACTTCTGTATCTGTGTATTTGCCCTGCTGTGCTAGTGATCATTATTATTATTTTAATTAGAACTCCTCAGTGGGGTTGCCTCTTCGCTGTGAGGTCGATCCCTTATAAAATAGGCTGATATACTGGTTTAATCTATTAATAAAAAATTATACTATAAATATAATAACTGACTGCTTATCCACTGTGCAGACCTCTTGATTCTCTTAACAGGTTTAAATAAGTTTCTTAGAAGTATACATAATGTGAATTGGAATCTCTTACCATTATTGCACTGTTGGGGAATACTTCTGAAGTTTCATTACTTTTCCCTTTGCCTTGCAGGTTTATGTGAAGCAAAAGCCTAGCTCAGTTTTCAAAGCCAGTGTGAGCTAAATGTAAGCTTTCTTTTTCATTACTTTTTGGTTATTGTGGCAGAAAAGCTAACACATTTTTAATAAGAGGTGGTTACTGAATTTATTGGATATGCCACTGTTAACAGTTGCTAATGATAGAAGAATTCAGGAGGTTTTTAAAGAAATTAACAGACTACAATTTGGAGAGTACTATTAAAGGCTTCTCTTAACTGCTGAGAATTAAAGTGATAAAAATCTCATATGTATCCACTGCTTAACCAATTACGTATGTGGGCTAATTCCTTGAAAAGGCATTTTTCCAATCTGGAAGGCAGTGTTGAAGTCAGAACTCTAACATACACTGCACATTAATTATCAATAGAAAGAATGTGTTTCAAAAGTTAACATTAGAGCTCATTTAAATTAAGAGGCTAGCACTGAGTTAACTATTTTAAATGTATACTGCTTACCCTCCAACAAAAATTTATACTTTAAGGGTATGTCCAGATGAGTGCACGTGTGCTTTGTGACACCTCAAAGGCTTTTGAGATTCTGTAAAATGTATGTGGCATGTGGGAAAAGGTTCTCTGCACTGCATATTTGCAGCACTGAGTCAAAATTGGATACTGAGAAATCCTGCTATCCCAAAAAGGGGGGGGGGAGGGGGAGGGGCAGTTCACATGGCTATGCTCCAGCTGTTGGCCAGGCTCCATGCACCCAGATCACCACCACTGCCATCATACAGATCTATTGCACTTTTAACCATCACACAGCTATTTAAAGCTACATAGTTATTGTTAAAGTGACTTTCCACTAGTAAAATTGAAGTTTTTAAATTTTTTCATGCATATATCTGGGACTTTAAATCAACCTCTCAGTCAGTGTACAGACACAGTAATAGTTTTGACTTTCTTGTGATGGTGCATACAAGTCAGCATATTTGTATCTGCAGGACTGACATCTGAATTAGTTACTCTGCTTTATCTTTCAGTATTAGGTTTGTATTTAGTGTCAGTAACAAAGACTTAAGCTCCACAAGGGAGATGTCTCTGAGTGTAGCAGAAATCAGTGCTGTAAGGTTAGGATAACTGGGTAAGTAGACTGATAAGTAATTATGATAGGAAGGTTAAAGGTAATTAGTAGCCACTGTACATGGCTAAAGTTGGGATACCTTGATTTCTTTGTTCTCAGTTTTTCCAACTGACAGTCTTACATCTAGAATTTGCCATTAAAAGAAACAATATTTGTTAATGCTATTATACTCACAGTAATTGGTGTTAAAGGATACTGAGGACAGAAGATAAACAGAATGTTGTTGTTTGCTAGTTTAAAAAAAGGCTTATGTTATATGTTTTAGGACAATGGCATGTTTTACATTTTGGCAATAGATTAAATGGATACTAATAAATAGTTTAGGTCTAAAACTTAGCTTTTCATATTTGACTAAGAAATACAAAATCAGCATGCATACAAAATAAGAATAGAGCTGGACAGCCATAAGTGACTGAGAAGGATGGTTGGCAGTAAAGGAAGGCACAGACTATCAGTTGGCTGAACCTATGATAGTAATTTTGAACATCAACTGTTAACTTGGTGTAGGAGATACAGAGGAATGCCTGGGTCCCAAACAAAAGGGAAAATGCCTTTAGGGAGGACCAGATATCTTCCTACTGCCTATTTCTTGCCTGAGCAGGGTGGTCTTTTATTCACCTCAGGTAGTCAAGAGAGCACAGGTTCTTGCATCAGTTTCCTGCAGGTATGTTTGCACAGCTCAATGCAGTTCCATGAGGAGATACTGAGTTATCTTTCAGTTCCTGATGGATGTGTGATGGAGAAGGGGAAAGAAGATGCACTGTTCTTTTAGTAGTTCAATGGAACTGAGTAATCCCCAGGAACCAGCTGGTTCTGCTGACCCCAAACTGAATGAAATGTCATAACCCTAATGTAGTAGCTAGGTAGTTAGCAGTTAACAAGCTATAAATTTGGGGTATTCAACCCCTGACCCACAGACCGGATCCGGCTCCTGGCATGTCATTCGGCCCATGGGCTTCCCATAGGTCCATGGGGAGCACTATGGTCTGTGATCTTGCACACTAGATTAGGAACACAAGAAGTGGGGGGGGGGGAAGGGGGAGGGGACACAAGGCCTTGGGGCCCAC